CTCTTCCTACCGACTCCTCTCTGGCTCCATCGTCAGGAATCTGTAGGCTTTTGAACTGTGATTGGGGTGCCTCCCAAGACCTCGGCTGGCTGCTGCACCCCGGGTCCCCGTTCCACGTACCGCAGTAGGGTGACCAGCGAGCCGTGGTACCGGGGGTGTGGAGGGGCTCAGCAATCACCATTTCCCGCACTAGCAAGACGGTCACCTTAGCCACGGCCTTGCTAGGGCTCAAATCCATGCCTCAGCACAGGGGTACATGACTGCACGTATGGACTTGAGGTCACTGGATAGAGTTGAAAGTGCAAACGGCAAATAGAGGGGTGACTGAGGTTTCCCAGATCAGAGGGTCTTTGGATAGAAAATTGATGGGAAGCCAGACCGCCCCGCTCTCTACTGGGAAGCCTGGTTGTCTGTAGAAAACTCAGCAAGTGTGGCGTGTGTGTGTGTGTGCGTCACTGACGGTGAGAGAGTGTGCCTTTCAGCAATCGTGGTGACATGACTGGGCTGATCCTTCTCAATGAAAGGCCTTGCTTAGTTTATTCAAGTGGTGGTGTGAGGCAAATCATTTACTTTGCCCTTTTGGAGAAAGACACGACTTGGGGGAAAACACATTGTCTAATGAGAGAGTGACTTTAATTGCTTGAAACAGTATAGAAATCTAATACTTTGACTAAATGTTTTCCATTGAAAAAGCATTTGTTCTCTCTTCAGGTAAATCTTTAAGTAGATTATGCATGAGGATAGAATGTTGCTATTTTGGTTAGTTAGAGTGTTTTATTATTTTGAATTTGACTTTTGAATTTGTGTCTCTTTGTGTCAGAAATAATGTTATGTCACAGAAACCCTAGTTTTTTGTTTATTATTATTATTATTATTGTGTGTGTATGTGTGTGTGTGTGTGTGTGTGTGTGTGTGTGTGTGTGTGTGTGTGTGTGTGTGTGGTACGCGGGCCTCTCATTGTTGTGGCCTCTCCCGTTGTGGAGCACAGGCTCCGGACGCACAGGCTCAGTGGCCATGGCTCACGGGCCCAGCCGCTCCGCGGCATGTGGGATCTTCCCGCACTGGAGCACAACCCCGTGTCCCCTGCATCGGCAGGTGGACTCTCAACCACTGCACCACCAGGGAAGCCCTGTTTTTTTGTTTTTTAAAAATTTCACAACATTATCAAGTGTCAGAGGAGGACCCATGGCCTTCCAGGATGGTATACAGGTAATTTCACGGCACTCATTGATAACCTTAATTTATGTCTTATCACAAAGCCAAGTATGGGTCAGGGTTTTCTTTATTTCTTGAAAATAATTTGGAGGTGTTAGTGCTGTCTTCCGAATGCATCTGTCACATACTGCCTTCTTAGTGGGCCCTTTTGTGCCTACAGCCATACCAGCCCTGCAGCCTATAGTCCACGACCTCTTCGTTTTAAGAGGAACCAATAAAGCTGATGCAGGAAAAGAGCTTGAAACCCAGAAAGAGGTGGTGGTGTCAATGTTACTGAGACTCATCCAGTACCATCAGGTAAGGGGAGGTGTGGGGTGGTCACTGACCCTTCCTTGTCCCTGCAGGGACAGGAGGAAATGCCACGTGGCTGCTGTCTGCTGTCAGTGAGTGTGGCTTTGTGCCAGCCCTGGGCTCTTGGGCGGGGAGACGCAGGGGGACATAAGGCTTGGTGGGGTCTGTCTTTAAGGCAGTGTGGCCTGGCTGACGGTCACAAGGTCGTTCAAGGCGGTAAACATGGTAGAGGCCCTCTTTTCCAAAATGAGGATCAAATACCAGTCAGCAGTGTCGATCAAAATGGTTGCGTTCTAAAGAATGATTTTTAAAAATCTCAACGTGAAATAATTTAACGACTTCATCTGTACATTTATTTACCACTCTGTTGAGGGAGGGCCAGCGTCTTTTTCTTGGCGCTGATTTCTGGCTTCGTTTTCCTTAAGGTGGAGTAGGAATTTCAGGTGGTGTGTGAGGCAGTCTGAAAACAGAAGTCTGGCTTTTTAATGAATTCTCTTCTGTAGCTGGTACAGTTGCCTAGCCCTCACTTATTTTGGTAATTCTTTTTAGCTATTTGTCTTTGAATCTTTATAAAATCGTAAGATTTTCTCGTAGAAACACATTTTTTGTGCATTCTCATTTTGGTTAATCTAGGTAATGTTTAATTAAATACTTAGTGTTTAATTAAATACCGTAATTACAATAAAAAGTACGACTGCCATAAAGAGGTTTGAGAACCAATAACCGGCTCTTGGCAAGCATGCAGTTTAGTGGGAGGCCTGGAGGGTGGCTCAGCCGGCACAGCGTCCCCAGAGCTCCCAGCCTGGTTTACGGAACAGAGAGGGCGGGTCTTGGGTTAGGAGAATCGGGATGAGCGCAGAGTGGCCGCTGTCACGCAAGTGCTGCCCGAAGTGCCTCTCGAAGGGAGAGGTAGCCTGTGGAGGCGGCCGGGCGGCTTTCCAGGGAACGGGCTCAGCCTGGCCAGTAGTTCACAGATCAGGCTGCAGGCTTTTCTGAGAACAGGCGGGTGATAAGCATTTTCAGCTTTGCAGGAGCTCCTCGTGTCTGCTGTCGTTCTGGAAGCCTTCCTGGCAGCATTTTCACGGTGGTCGTGTGCCAGGGAGACCGTGTTCACCAAAACAGGCTTTTAGGGGTCTCTGTTTAGAAGGGATCACTAACAAACTCGTGCTCACCCAAGGCCAACTCTTCTAAAGTATGGTGTCCTCAGTAGAAGGTGACCTTTGCACAGATGTTAGTACACACAAAAGCCAGAGGGTGTCTGCACAACAGTTTAGTGAAGGCCGTGCTTGTGTCCTGCCAAAGGTTGCGATGAGTTTGGCTCCGTTCGTGCCTTTCCTCTGGTGGTGAGTCTTGTAAAGCCGTAGAGATAGATGACAGTGCTGTGGTCCTCCTGCGTGCCCCGGGGCCAGGGCTGCATCGGCCCTCCTTGGGGGTACGTGGGCTGGGGTCCGAGTGTCTTCCGGCCCTTCCCTCTGTGCAGGTGTTGGAGATGTTCATCCTGGTCCTGCAGCAGTGCCACAAGGAGAGCGAGGACAAGTGGAAGCGGCTCTCTCGGCAGGTAGCCGACATCATCCTCCCGATGTTGGCCAGGCAACAGGTTTGTCCCCCTCCCCCCCGCGTGTGCGGTCACTGCGACACCGTGGAAGTGGGTGAAGATGCTCGTGAGAGGTGGGCGCTTGTGGTGGGCTTTTCGTCAGATCGTGGCGTGTACATTTTATGGTCGTTACTGGTGCCTTCCGCGCGAGTGCGAGGCTAGAGGTAGAGACGTCCCCTGGGTCCCAAGGCGCCCTTGGGGAAGTGCCTCCAGAGCTGCGTCCTTTCCTGCTTACACCGTGTCGCCCTCATTCTGCTCAGTCAAACGTCTTCTGTTTGCTCTGTAGGGGAGTGTTTTTCCTTATCACGTATAAAGTAAGTTGGCAGTTATCCGTCATTTAATCAGGATTTCTGTGGTCAAACGATGCAGTCAGTGGTTTCCACAAGCTCAGTGGAAGGCACTGGTCTGGCGGTGTGTGTGTAGGATGGAGCCCAGTAGTTACATGGCTTCTGAACCACTTCTGCCCCCGCCCCCCGTCCCCCCAACCCCCGGGGTTGAGGGCAGGGCACTGTGCTCCGGGTGCTGCACCACCCTGGGAACCGGGCAGCAGGGACGCGCTGAAGACGGTCCCTCCAGGAAACCGCCCCAGCTGCTGGCAGAGCTCTGGGTCTGAAGCACTTTGGATACAGTCAGCAGATGCCTGTTTGTTCATCTGGGTCGGCCCGGCTAGGGAAGCGGGCACCCTCAGATTGAGCATTTAGTTGGAACGGGGTGGGGAGACAGACAGCAGAGGGGAGTAAGCTAGTTACGTGTATAAAATGAGTGCTGGAGGGAAGGGAGGTGTGTCGGCTGGGGGTGACAGTGTTGAATGGGTGACATCCGCGGGGACTTGAAGGAGGTGAGGGATGAGCCGAGCAGATGCCTGGGGGAGAGCTCTCCGGGTGGAGGACTTGGGGGAGCCCTCGGAGGGTTTGGTACGAAGGGGGTCAGGGTGAATTTGAGAGTGGAACAGGCGGGCGGGGGTGTAGGGAGAGCCACTCGTGGCTCAGGGCCTGTGTGGACCAGGGGTGGGAGCGAAGGGGCGAGAAGGGGCGTCTGCTGGACGCAGCTCGGATGCAGAACCAGTGAGCTTTGCTTGACGGCTTAGGTGAGGTGAGGGATGTGAGAGGAGGGGCGGGCAGGTGGCTTATAGCGTGATGGCTTTGGGGGGACCGTGGAAGGAGCGGGTTTCGGGAGGAGGTCAGAGCCTGGTTTGGATGTGTTTGGTTGGGACACCGGGTGGTGCCAGGGAGGCTGGAGGAGGCCTTTGGGGTGCGAGCTGGAGGGCAGGCCTGAGGGTGGACGAGGTCGCTGCAGGGCCCAGGGTAGCTGGGCAGTGGGAGAAGGCCGAGCCCGGGAGGCGAGGGGGCCCGTGGACGAGACGGGCAGGAGCAGGCGGCGTGGTATTCTTACAACCGAGGAGAAAAGGTGTTTCCCGGAGGAGGGACTGATCGCTGGGAGCTGCTGCCGGGCCAGGCAGACGGGCCCTGGGAACTGACCCGCACTTGGCCGCACACAGGTCCCTGGGGAGCGGCTTTGGTGGAGCGGAGGGAACAGAAGCCCAGCCGGCGTGCGCTGGTGAGAGGGCAGGAGGAGAGAGGGAGAGACGTGGTGGCAGCCGGCCAAGCTGGGGGGCACGAGGGCCAGTGTCCACTCCGAGGGCAAGAGCAGAGGGGCACTGCCTCTGCAGGACAGGCGGCTGTGCCGTCGTGGCATCCCTGAGCACCACCAGACCCAGGGCTCCGTGGCCGCGTAGCTGACAGGTCACGGCCGGAGGGTCTTGCCAGCGGGTGGGCCCCGACAAGAGGCTCATCTTCCCACCGCAGAGGGGTGGCTCCACGCCAGGCAGGGCTCAGACCTGCACCTTGAGAAAATTGCCCTCTGTGGAGATGTTACTGTATGTATACACACTCGTTAGTAGTGACGAAAGTCATCAGTAGGGGAGTGGTTGAGTGTACTGTGGTAGAGACTTAATTTGGAATATTTTGCAACCTTTAAAAATAATGTTAGGAGGATCTCCCTGCCGGTCCAGTGGTTAAGACTCTGCCCTTCCATTGCTCGGGGGGCCGGGTTCGATCCCTGGGTGGGGAACTAAGATCCTGCATGCCACACGGAGAGGCCAACAAAATTTTAAAAACGTTAGGTTTTAAAACCTGTTGCCTTGGGAGTTCTCCATTATATTTTTAATGGAAAACAGAGACATTTATAGCATGATTTTTCAAAACAACTTAAACAAAAATCTCTCTACATGTATAGGAATGTGGAGAAAGTTAATGAGAAATACACTAATTTGCTAACATTTGTTACTACATAGTGGGGTAGGGATGGGGTGCCAGTAAAGAAAGAAAAAAGATACAGTGTGTATGATACCCATTTAGGCACATTACATGTGTGTAAAGAGATGCGAGAGAGGCTGGTTCCTGAAGTGTTGATGGTGACTGGGTCATGGCGGTGCGGTTTCAGTTGATATTTTTCATACTTTTACATATTTGAACTTTTTACAGAAAACATCTATGGTTTATTTAATAAAAATCTAAATGCAAAGATTTCCATCGTGGAAAAAATACAGCTGTGTTACAGTGTTGTTGTAAAAAACGTTTGCTTGGTTCGCTACTGAAGTTAAAATGCATTTAAGTGCGGGGGTGGGAATGATGCATGGTCAAGGTTATTTGACCTTGAGACAACTGATGTGAGGTATAAAAGTTGACATTTCTGTTGGCTTATGGGAAAACATCTTTGACGTTTAATTGCAACAGATGCACATTGATTCTCACGAAGCACTTGGAGTGTTAAATACGTTATTTGAGATTTTGGCCCCTTCCTCCCTCCGTCCTGTGGACATGCTTTTACGGAGTATGTTCGTCACCCCAGATACCCTGGTGAGTATCCCGCCTCCTGATGGCATCTTGGGTTCACCACTGTGTGGGGCACCTGGGGGTTTCTGCTGGGGCCAGGGTGGAGCCTTAGTATTTGCATTTTAAACAGGTTCCCAGATGGTACTGATGCTGCTTGTCTGGGACCACACTTTGAGAACCAATGAGACAGATTTATTGGTGGAATTGTAAAATCAGGGTGATTTTCATAAATGAAATTTGAAATCAGGAAAAACTTAATCCTCTTTTTTCTTTAGCTATAACTTACTTATTTTCCTTCCTTTAGGCATCTGTGAGCACTGTTCAACTATGGATATCCGGAATCCTAGCCATTCTGAGGGTTCTGATTTCCCAGTCAACTGAAGACATTGTTCTTTCTCGCATTCAGGAGCTTTCCTTCTCTCCATATTTACTCTGCTGTCCGATAATTAATAGGTTAAGAGATGGGGACAGTAATTCAGTACTGGAAGAACACAGTGAAGGGAGACAAACGAAGGATTTGCCAGAAGAAACATTTTCCAGGTACGCTCTATATCAGAGCCTTCCGTGTCCGTGTCCCCAGGCCGCTGTGTGGTGTTTGGGGTCACTGAGTCTCGCTTCAGCTCTGCAAGGCGGGTTAAGGAGTCTGTGTCGGTGTGGTTTCTCTGCCCAGCCTGCCTCACCTGTGGCCCTTGGTCATGCCTGTCGGTAGGCTCTGTCACATCCTGAATCAGACCCTCGTTAAGACTGCACGGTGGTAGTGGGTGGGTGCAGGCGATAAGGGCGTGGTTGCCTGCAGAGAATTTGAAAACCTAGGAAAACCCACTAAAAGTCAGTCTTATGTTTATTCCCGCCGGGTTCTGGCCACCCTAAACACTGTCAGTAGTAAAATCCCCCTCCCCGCCAGGGTGGAACGCTTGTACTGTGCTCCCCTGGGTGTACTTGTGGCATCAAATCACATCTGCCCTTATCAGTTCTTGAGAAGCTCCTTGAGGGTGGCGATCACAACTCAGGTACTGAAAAGGCTTGTTGTGTAGACAAGTGTGTATCCACCTTTGCTGGATTCGGGGTGCAAGCTGACTTATACCTTGCAGAGCGTGTCCAGGAAGCACAGTTCCTAAGAACGTGCTCCTTCCTGCCGGGTCCACCGTAATGTCCACCGTGATGTTGGTCATCAGGGCCTGGGGCGCCATTGTGTTTGTGGAGATAAATTCAGTGAAACCGCACGACACCCGTTTGTCCGCAGGTTCAGCAAGGCAGCCTGTGGCTCCTGCTGTTATATTAAAGCAGGGGGCTAAAGTGCAGGATACATTAAATTCCTGTGGTGGGTTATCAGCCTGCTTTATGGTTTATGAAGTTTTGAAGAAACACTGCAGGTCATTTTACCCTCCTGACAGTCCTTTAAAGGTGGTATGATTCCTGCCATCTCATTAGTGAGGAAAGTCATACGCAGAGAGATAAAGTGATTTAATCCAGAGGGCTGGCATCGAACACTTTACTTGCGTTTTTACCCTACTACCCTACCCATATCTACTGTGTGTATTACTTTTACGTGTGTGCCCCCCTCCCAGAAGTGCTCCGCAATAGGCACCTACTTCACTGTCACCCTTCTCCCTTTCTTTGAAGGTTTCTGCTACAACTGGTTGGCATCCTTTTAGAGGACATTGTTACAAAGCAGCTAAGAGTGGAAATGAGTGAACAGCAGCATACTTTCTACTGCCAAGAACTAGGCACGCTGCTCATGTGTCTGATCCACATCTTCAAGTCTGGTAGGTGCATCACACTAGTCTTATTAGAGCATCTGTATATTCCCTGCCCTGCCCTGCACACTCTCAGGGTGTAAGGAGGTGCTGCCCAGTGTGAGCTCTGCCCTGCTCAGTGTGCCTTTGAAGACGTTGTGCTGATGAAAACAGTAAACCTGGGCGCTTCCCCCTGTTTTAAAGATTTGGAAAGTCAAGATGTTTTTGTTACCTTTACGTACGATTGCGGATTAAGAAAAACAGTGCACTCAAGAGAGCGGTCACAAGATCCCAGCCATGTAGCAAGCATAGGAAGCAACCAGCCCGCCTTAGGACAGTCAGTGTTTTTCAACAGGAATGAGTGTTTTCAAAAGGAATGTCTTGCTAGTTACAGGGTACAGGCATATCCTTTTCTCAGCAAGAAAAATGAAAGGCAATTCTAATCTCTAGGAAAAACAAACGGCAAGGAAGTCACGGTCCAGATACGAAGCGAATCTGGAAGTGGTTTGGGTCCTGGAAGTGCGGGGGTAGGTGCTCTCTTTGGGTGTGACTGCGTCTGGTGTGTTTAATTCTGTTGCCGCATCGTGTATTTCCACGTCTCAGCTCTTGTACTGTGTTGGCTTTGTCTTCTGTGGGGCTCCTTCCCCGCGGCAGAAAGGATGGCCTCTGGTCTCAGCCCCTGCAGGAGTCCTGTGAGGGACTCGTGAGCCCTGGGTGCTCTGGCCAGCCTAGGCTGGGTGAGAGGCGGGACAGCATTCCTTTGGGAGAAGGGGTTACTTTCAAGTAGTAAGGGAAGGGGAGCAGACAGAATAACTGACGGTCCACTGCAAGTGATGAAAGCATACCAAGGCAAGTTTGGAGGTAACCACCACAACTGAAAACAGAATGATAACAAATAGTCGCCTTAAGAGGGATGGGGCAGGGCACTTGTAAAGTCAGAAGCCCCCATCTGTTATGGGATTTAAAACTCATGTGTGCATATTACTTTAATACAAATTAAAACACACACATACCCACATACATACCATTAAAGCAGAAGATAGTTACCGCTGTCAACCTTTATTCATTCAGCAAAGATGCACTGAGTCTGCCGCCACTGTGCTGGGCCCTGGGTGTGTGGTGGTCAGTACAGCTGACGTGATTCCTGCCTCTGTGGTGCTCAGTCTAGCGGGGCAGACAATACACAGATATGTCACCACAAGCCTTGCCATCTCCTGAGAAGGAAACAAAAGCACAGTGACAGCCAGCACAGGGGTGGGCAGTAGGGGCAGGTTCTCCTAGGAGGCTGCTGAGCTAAGGCCTGAGGGAGAAGGAGCTGGCCCTTCAGAGAGAGTGTTCCTGCCGAGAGGGGTGAGGGCTCGGAGGGGCTGAGGAGGCGGGCAGGGACCTGGACTCGCGTGGCCTGGGAGCGATGGAGAAGGGCACCTCTTCATGGTTGCTCCACGTACCTGCCATCGCCCTCGGCACAAGAGTGTGGCCAGAATTTAATTTTGATGATGGTTTACAGCTTCAAGCCACCTTGTTTACATACCATTGAAATAATTTTCTTTTTGAGGATCTTTTGATTTACGTCCCACCACTGCGATAAGTCTAAAGTGGAGAAAATAATTGAGCCATGCGAAGAATACGTTGTTTTTAGTATATGGGCCACTTTAGTATTTGGCCACCGGTTGGTTTGGACCTGACACCAGAAGGGCACCAGTTCAATCGAAGGACGGCTTTCTACCTTCTTTGGATAAGAGCAGTGCATTCTGCGGCCTTAGGCACGTCCAAGTGGATTTCCATGGCGTCCAAGTGGATTTCCGTGCTGTTCACTCACCCGTTGCTCTAACTTCCTCTTCCTTTTCTCAGAAATCAGGGGAAATACTTATATGGTTGGTTGCAGTGCTGTCAAGTCCAGCTTCCTGCAGTGTGCAGATGTTCTGTGTCTGCACTAATCCAGTTGCTTCTGGCCACACGTGGCTGATGGGCACTGGAAGTGTGGTGTTGTGACTGAGGAGCTTTTAATCAATCTAATTTTGGTTAAATTTGAACAGCCATGCATGGAGTGGAATATTGAGAAGGCCGCGCTCTGCTCCGGAGCCCGGGCTGGGTATCGGGGCATGTGGGTTTTGCCACTCGTGTCTTTGGACATTGTTCAGTTGGTCCAGTATTTGTAAATAAGGGGTGTATGGGTGTGTACAAATGTCTATTTCTATCTCCTCGTGTATTTTGATGCCATTTCTTTTAAAGACACTGGGCGGCAGAATTACTGTGTTGGTTGGTTTTGAGATAAAATAAATCATCTTGTCTTTTATATAAATAAGGTGTCTTTAGCATCTAAAGTTGGTAGTTTTTATTTATGCATTGCTTAAACAATGACAATAATTTCACCCCTCTGTTGAAAACTGAGATCTTTGAATTTGCCCATTTGAGGTATTATTTCTTAGAACAGGAACTAGTCTGAGTAATGGCCTTGACCTCTCATTTTCTGTTACCCCTGTTGTTGTTGGGGGGCAGTTATGAATCCCAAAGTCGTTTGCCTATTTCACATTCAATCCAGCATAAACAGAAGAGCCAAGAAAGTTACTTAGTCTCCATTTTATAGGTTCTGGGTAACTAACACCTCATCCTCTCCACTGAGACAGGCCAGATAGAAGCAGAAGGTGGAGCCATGGCAGGAGGCTGACAGTGTCCATTGCTTTGTTGCAGGCAGGGCTGGGTTGAGTCCTCCGGCTTGTGGCCACAGTAAGGCTTCCTAACTGCTCACCGTGTTTTCCAGTGCCCCCCCGCACCCCCGCCAGCCCCCACCGTGTGCCCTCCCCGCTGCCGTGCAGTGCTCACCCAGCCGAGGGCAGCAGTGGGCGGTGGAGCCATTCCTGACCCTCTCCCTTCCTTCCTCGCAGGCAGAGCTCTCTTCCCAGTGTTTTATGTGTGCGTCAAAGTAGGATTACTAGAAGGAAGAGAAAATGGTCTTCCTGCAGTGATAAAATGGGCACTGCTTCAGATTCGTGCTTGGGCCAGGATGGGGCTACTGATGGTGTTCTCTTAGGGGTGTGTGGTACCTCCATCAACCCTTAGAACAACTCTGTGAAATAGTTCCCCATTTCTACTGCTGAGAGGATTCAGGTTCTGAACGGTCATATGGTAAAACCAAGGGCGAAAACCCAAGAATTTTTCCTTGCCCATTATGTCGTGCTGCTTCTTGGGTTGGTGATGGTAAGTATAGCAGCTAATGTTTGCAGAGCACTTGCTGTGGGCCTGGCACACGCCATGATATCCATGTTCTAGCTGAAGTAACTGAGTCACGGGGCTTGTAATGCGTGAGCTCCCAGGTGGTGGGATGGTGGGGGGAGGTGTCTAGAGCCTGGGCCAGTCCTCGTACGTCGCACACCATCAGCAGTGCCGGTTCCCCTGCGAGAGTCTAGCCCCAGGCCAGCACCAGTGTCCGTCCAGTTCCTCCGTCTGACATCTCGTCCCCCATCCTGGTCCCCATCCCCTCTTGTGTTTGCTCTTCCCATGATCAGTTCTTCCAGTTCGTGTCTTGAGCGTCTCCTTCGTTCACTCACACCCTCTTCGCTGCACACTACGCGGCGAGACATATACGTCTGTCTTTCCTTCTCGCCTAGAGCTGCGCTGCTGATCCAGCCTACGAGGCGGAACAAACCCTTTCTTTGCTCTGCAGCTTCCTGAATTGTCCTCCTCTTCTTGTTTACTACACAGTTTTTCAAAAGAAATGTTTGAGGAGTTTATTGTTGCTTCTAGCGCTCTGCTTTCCCTCTTTCTCTCCATCCTCAGCGTTTTGCCTCTTGATCTCATTACCGGAAATGCCCCTGCAAAGGCCACCTGTGGGCTTTCCCAGGTCCTCATCTTCCCGGACCCTGCAGCCCAGTTCCATGGACAGACTTCTGCTCGCTGAAACTCCCTCGTCCCTTGACTTCTCCTTCAGTCTTCTCTTTCCAACCTCTTAATTGCATGTGTTCTTGTGCACTGTCAGTCACCCCAAACAGGAGGAGATGTGCGCCTACTTGGCGTCCCTTACTTACTCTCCAGCAGGAAGGAGACACCTTCTCCAGCAGGCGTGAGAGCTTCCCCTACAGGCCTGTCCCAAGTCCAACTTGAGCTGAGGTTTCTGTGGTTAATTCCACACTTGTAACTGAAAGGTTGTACCTTTTGACCACCTTCACCCATCCCCCACCCCCACCCCCCACCTCTGGCAGCTGTCAGTCTGATCTCTGTATCTATGAGTTTGGTTTTTTTAGATTCCACATGTAAGTGAGATCATACAGTATTCATCTTTCTCTGACTTATTTCACTTAGCACAATGCCCTCAAGGTCCTTCCATGCTGTTGCAAATGACAGGATTTTCTTCTTTTTTTATGGCTAAATAATATTCGTGTGTGTGTGTGTCACACGTTCTTTATCCACTCATGCTTCAGTAGACACTTGGGTTGTTTCCGTGTCTTGGCTCCTGTGATTGATGCTGCAGTGAACATGGGAGTGCAGGTATCTTTTTTTTTTCTTTTCTTTTCTTTTTAAGGAACATTTATTTATTTCTTTATTTATTTTTGGCTGCGTTGGGTCTTCGTTGCTGTACGCGGGCTTTCTCTAGTTGTGGTGAGCGGGGGCTACTCTTTGTTGCAGTGCGCGGACTTCTCATTGCGGTGGCTTTTCTTGTGGAGCACGGGCTTCAGTAGTTGTGGCACGTGGGCTCAGTAGTTGTGGCTCACGAGCTCTAGAGCATAGGCTCAGTAGTTGTGTTGCACGGGCTTAGTTGTTCCGCAGCATGTGGCATCTTCCCGGACCAGGGATCGAACTGGTGTCCCCTGCATTGGCAGGCAGATCTTAACCACTGCGCCACCAGGGAAGTCCCGCAGGTATCTTGTTGAGTGAGTGATTTTGTTTCTTTCAGGTATATACCCATAAGTGGGATTGCTGGATCATATGGTAGTTCTATTTTTTTTTTTAAATAGATCTTTATTGGAGTATAATTGCTTCACAATACCATGCTAGTTTCTGTTGCACAACAAAGCGAATCAGCCATATGCATA